AAAAAATATATATTTTTTAAAGAAATCTTAAACAACTTTTCAGTATTACAAATAAATAAAACACACACACACTGACCCAGCAGTGAGTCTGCGGCATGTTATACAGCACATACAAGGAACACAAAACAAGGTGCACAGAAATGACCTCAGAACTTATGCTCAGGGAGGTCATTTTCTATTTAGGCAGTCTTAGAAGTATGAAATATTCCCAAGAACTGGACATCACTCAACAAGCCAGGAACTGCAATAATATATGCATCTCTTCCATGGAGACGGTGTCCCACAATGTAACTGACAGGAGAGAGTAAACATTAAAAATGTCCAAACTCAAGATATTTCAGCAATAAAAGAAACATTTAAAAAAAAAAGGAAACATCAGAAGCCTTCAGTTCCTCACTGTGCTAAAATGCACCGCATTTTTCAGTTCTTTGCAAGCTAAATTTATATCCATGAGCAAGTGCCTTTCTGGGTACTGAATCACTGAGCTGCTGAGCATTTCCTCTATAAATTACAGAAGCTGGTTTGAAATTAGCTTGGAAAAGGTGAAGATTTACATTGAAATTCGTGTTGCGCTTCCCTCGGCATAGCCCTGCAGTGTTCATTGCTACAACCCCTTCAGACAACCAGACACTTCTTATTAATACTCATTCTATTGCCGTAGTGCCTAGGAATCCGAGTCCTGGACTAGGACCCCCCTGGGAGTAAGGAAGTCTGCTTTACACGGTCAGCTATGTAAAAAACAGAGCAAGCCACACTCTGCCCAAGCAGTGTGGTTGTGCTCCAAACCAAAGCCCTGGTGCTGCAGCCATTTATGCCTGAAAATAACTCACTTCCCGGAAGTCTTCCCATGTCACTCTCGGGGTAGGATGTTCAGTAATCACTAAGGATCCGATTCGGTCACGGATTCCATGACTTCAAGGGAATCTCTGGGACATCGTTGGGTTCAGCTCGCCACAGCGGCGGGGCTGGAGCAGCAGTCAGCCCCCACTCCAGGAGCAGCAGCAGCTTCAGGTCAGGGGCCACAGACCGGGGCTGGGTGAGCCCCCAGAGCACGGCCAATGCTGGGTGAGCCGCTAGCGCTGCAGGAGCAGCGGTCGAAGCCGGGTCAGCCCCCAGGACCAGAGCAACCGCTGCCAGAACAGGAGCGCTAGGTGAAGACCTTTTTCTTAAGGGAAAAACAAACTCCGATTCTAGCAAAGCACCTTCTCTCCTGGCTGTGTTGCTTGATATCATTTCAAAAAGGAAAATGATCCTTCTTTAAGGAACAAATGCTTTTATCCGGCTCTGCTGATTTTCACCTGGAAAACCAAAGAACGATGGCATTGTTTGACCTTCTTTCTGCCCAGACCAAAAATATTAAAACCCTGAACAAAAACAGACCTAGAACAAATTCACACCAAGGCTTGTGCTTCTCTGTGGCCTAGACAAGTAGTTTTCAACCTTTTTTTTTATTTGAGGACCCCTAAAAAATGTTGCCTGGAGATGCAGACGCTTTTGGAAATCTTAGGGGGTCTGCAGCACGGACCACAGGTTGAAAACCATTGTTCTATGGTAATGACACCTTTCCCGGACCCCTTAGACATAGTCTGTGGGCTCCCCGGGGTCTGCAGACCACAGGCTGAAAACCACTGGCCAAGAATGAACTAGGCACAAACCAGGAACTCAGAATTACCCATCTATAATCCATCCTGGATCAGTGCCAAGAATAGCACTGATAGGCCAAAGGAATTAATGCAGGCCCATATTTTGAAAGGTCCTGTACCACAAAACCAGGAGGGCTGGGAAGAATTATTTAGGCCAATGTTAAATGGGGTCCCAGCTTTCCGGTGGCATCATGGAAAGTGGCAACAGGTCACAAGGTATCAGACTGATAAAAATCACAGTATTGGGGTCACTTTCTTGCTTCTCCCACTTCCACACTGATGTGATTTCAGCAGCTGCTGTCTCCAAAACCGAGAGGCCGAGAAATCCCACCTGGAAGCAGCGATTCTAGCTGCCTGGGTGCTCTAGCACATTCTTTTCGGACTCCAGCAACTCACGGGATGTCAGACACTAGAATAATTGCAGGAAGACCGTTACATAGGGTGACCAGATATCCCGTTTTTAAAGAGACAGTCCCGTTTTTTGGGCCTATTACCTCCCACCCTCTGTCCTGTTTTTTCCCAGTTGCTATCTGGTGACCCTACCGTTACAGAGACGGTCTGCAAGCAACGACACACGCTTTCAGAACCCCACGCGTGTCCCTCCTGAGCTGTGGTGCTGGACCAGCAAGCGTCTGAGCCCTGTGTTAGTGCAGGAAATGACTTTCCCTGATCGACACCGGCCTGAGGGGTTTGGACACTGCCACTTTGGCTCAGAAGAGCTCATAGTCTCCAAGGTGCTGTGAAGTCCATTGCCAGCAATGGGTGGGTCAGGCTTGGATGCAGCAGGTCAGGTACCTAAACCCAGGGGCAGAGTTCAAAACCAACTGTCTCCACTTCCACATTAAAGACGCTGCTGGCAATGGAAAGACAAGACTCAGCGACCCACGGGATTACTGCTGGAGCCGGGCATGTGACACCAAGCAGGCAAAGTTCCCAGCATCATGCCGGAGTTCCCCATCCCGCTGACAGATCGGCAGCATGTGACCGTGTCTCAGGCGGCACTCGCAGCCAGGCCGACTTCAGGCTTAGTGTTTCCAAATGAGCCCCCCCGGCCTCGTCTCGTTGCACTCGTCCCCGCCCCCACCCGAGCTTCCATCACAGTTTGTGGCTCTCCTGGCTCTCCAACCACTCTCTCCTCAGCTCAGTGATCTCTCTGCCGTACCAGTCGTGGAGCTTAGAGAAACACACCGTGCCTGGGCACACCGGGCTGTCCGCCACCAGGGCCCCGGGGCCACAGGTATTGCCTGACGATGCACGTCTGCGAGGTGGCAGAGGAGGCGGCTTCACGCTTCCCTCATGGCTGCCCCCCGCAGACGTCCTCACGCTCCCCGAGTCAGCAAGGCCCCCGGGGCCATCCCCAGCTGGCAGGCTGTCCATGCACGGAACGTTATTCCACACCGCACAGCCATTCTCTTTCAGGGGGGCGCAAGGCGGCACCATGGGTCTCTCCCGGGGAGGTGGCAGCTCCAGAGCTGGAGCCATGGTGTCCAAGCAGAGAGCTGACTTGGTTTTCCGGTAAATCGGTGACCTCCTTTGGATGCTTCGGCTGCCAGCCAGGCCCGACTGCATCTCCTCCAGCTGCTTCTCCAGCTCCTTCACCACCAGCCGCAAGTAGTCGAAGCTGGCGCGCGATAGGGACTTGACCCAGGACTCCATGGCAGCCTGGCTCTCGGCCGCCAGGACGTAGGTTCGGGACTTGGTGCAGTCAAACTTGATGGCGAAGGTGAAGTCTTCGGCGGCCTCGCAGAGCTCCACGGTGCAGCCCTCCAAGATGATCACGCCCACCGGCTCCCGGCTCTCCCGCTCCTCGAAGTAGAAGAGCATGTTGCCCTTCAAGCACAAACCAGCGGCGGTGGTAGGCCGTGTTCCGCTCGCCTTTCTTGAAGAGGAAGCCAGTGTTGTCGGCGGGGGAGTCGCAGGTGGCGTAGAATGCCAGGCTACGCTCGTTCAGCTTCATGGCGCCAAGGCCTAGAGGGGGAAAAGAGATTCATATGGGATCGGGGGTAAGGATCTGCCGGGTTCTCTGAGCTACGAGTAAAGACCAGGGAGCCCAGGCAGTCCCATCCCAACAGCTAGAGTGAGGTACTGACTGGAAACGGACAGCAGGTAGCAAACCCCTAACAGCGGGGCACTGGGGCAATCTGCTTGAATTGGCTGCTTGGGGAGCCCAGGGAGAGAATGCCTCTGGGAAGAGATGGAGTCATGGAGGCCTTAACTTACCAGAAAGGAAAGCGATTTTCTATGCTTGAGGGAGAGACCCCGCTCACTGCAACGGGCTTCTCCTTTCTTTGTCAACTCCCCGGCTTGCCATCCAGGTCACCTGGCCCTATTTCTACTCCTGGCCGTTTGTCTTTCCAGGGAGAGCCCATTGGATCAGTTTCACTTTGTTTACTGTCAGTTTCCTTTCTGGTTCTTGGGCCCTTTGGGGGAGCAAAGAGGGGGAGGGGAACCACTGTTTAAAACATACACCTCTACCTCGATAGAACGCTGTCCTCGGGAGCCAAAAAAATCTTACCGGGTTATAGGTGAAACCGCGTCATATTGAACTTGCTTTGATCCACCGGAGTCCGTAGCCCCGCCCCTCTGGAGCACTGCTTTACCGCGTTCTATCCGAATTCGTGTTATATCGGGATAGAGATGTACTTCCAATTTAAAAGAGAGTCCCATTGATCTCTGCTTTTTGTTCAAAGCTGACTTTTACAAAACCAACAATTTTCTGGGTGAAGCTGATGCCCTTTTCCCTCTCCCCTCATTGGGATCATGCCCAATCTAATGCTATTTATCAGGCATGGCTGAAGAGCCAGTCCTAGAGTACACTTCCCCCTCCCCGCCATAAATGCACTTGAACAATGCAGTGTGCAGCTGGCCCGGCACTGCTAATTGGGTTCCTAGCACCAGTCTATTGCTGCCCTGATTAGCAGGGACCAGGAGTACTCAGGGTGCTGCAAACACTGCCGGCACTGGTTACTCCCCGTCACCCATAGTCCGTTGCTTCAAGTCCTATCGGTGCTAATCAGAGCATCCTCGATGCTGCTGTTTTGCAAGCTGGGTGAAGTTAGTCCCTAGCAGCTTATCTAGCCACCCAGCTGCCCGCGCACATTCGCAGCTGCCACGGACGTTGGCCTTGCTAGCGCTGCTTGTTTAGCTGCCCTGGCTCCTCCTCTGTGGGGGAAGAACTGGGAGTCAGACGACCCAGGTTCTTTTCCCACCTCTATCACTAACGGAATGTGCGACTCGTGCTGTTCTGTACCCGTGTCCCCATCTGACTGGGTCACCTACCCTGCTTTGAGAGCTAGAGCAGTGCAAGGACCAGCCATGAGTCAGGCAGCGCCATGCTGAGCATGGGGGTGGTTGCATTGATTTCAGTGGGAACATGCCCATGCTTTAATGGTTATCGTAAACTTAAGCGCTTCACTGCAGCCAGAGCAATGCAAAGATGAAGGGTTGCCAGAGCTGCCAAGATGCCAGTGGCCCCCGATGGATGGCTAAACTGGAACTCCAAACAGCCCCCACCATGGGGTGGGCGACAAAGACCTGCCACTCGCCTCTGGGACAGCCCTTTCCCAGTGGTTTCCTTTCTGTTTACAGTGACTTGGTTCTGATCGAGGAAGTAAGTGGTCTTACAACCTTTGTTACTAACAACAGCTGTTGCTGGCGACCGAGCCACCAATAAGAGAGATTTTCACTCTGTCAGGCTGCTGTCATTGTCCTCGGCAGCAGGCGTGTCACTTGCTGTGAGGAAAGGGCAGCATTTGTCCCCCAGATCTTGGTTTGCCCCCTGCCTTTTAATAGGTCCATATGCTCCACGCTCCCTTCCACTTCCCTCCACACCCAGCGTTTGCAGGGTAAAATAAAATCATGAATAATGTTGCGTATGCGGACATAAAACTTTCCCCTTCCCCCCCACAATTTTTCTGAAATGCAGCCTCTGTTCAGCGCCACAGCAGCCACAGCCTATGGGATCTATAAATATAACACCGCTGCTAGCTTTTGCTTCCTTAACACTAGTGGCAGCATCTCCAGTGCAAGGCACTCAAAGCCTTTGAGGCTGATAACTATCAGTAACCGTTTTACAGCTGGGGAAACCAGCACACAAAGATGAAGGCCCAAGTTTTCCAAAGCGGCCCAGGAATTTTGGGTGCCCAGGTGGGAGCAGCTGGAGGTTGGCTTCTCCCAGGGCCTGAGCAACTGCGGCTACGGTTAAAAAGCAACAGGCGCTACTGGTGCTCAGCAGACGGAAGAAGCAGATTGTAGCGTGTCAAATGTGGCACCCAAACTTGACACCCAGAGGCTGAGTGACTAGCCCCAAGGAAACACAATGAGGCAGTTTCAGAACTGGGACTAGAATCCAGGAGTCCTGAGTCCCAGGCCTTTGCTCTGACCACTAGACAACACTCCTCCCTGAAAGACCACTGCTGTTTAACTCTAGTCCTAATCTAGTAATTTTTTTAAACATACGACCACAACAAAACCCTTGGACATGGACAAGTAATTTCACTATTAAATCATATAACAAGGTTCAAGATTAATTGAGCTTTTCCCTTTACCAGAAGGTTATTTTTATAATCACACTGGAGCCTCATCCCGCGTAGAAGCCATGTAAGAAATAACAGGGAATGTTGCAAGCTTCACAACCTCCGCCATTTCATTCATGAAGTGACTTTTTTTGTTTGTTTAACTTATTAAAAAAGTGACTGTTTGATTCCGCAGCTAGCAGGAGGCCGGCCCACCTAGCATGGCTTAAGGGATGAAAATGAAATTCGAGTCTTTAACACAGCAGAAGACCATTCGCTCAGTGTGGGGGGTTTTAGCTGTAGGAGGTTTTTTTTTTTTAGTGACACTGAGAGCAGCACCCACTGCACCTTGCAGGGGGTCTTTCAGCAGGTGTTTCCTGCATGTCAGCCAGGGTCCCTGCTTTCTGTGGACTCGTGGGGGAATTGGGCTGTTCCCCCCCAGAGCCTGCTAGGCAGGGGGCGAGTTAGCTAGCACCAGCCCCCCGGAAAGTGGGTTAGCTCTCTAGGGGGTGCTGGAGTCAGACACTGCAGTGGGGAAGGGGCTGCGCTCCAGGCCAGCCAGGGGGGCCGTGTCTCCTGCTGGGCCCCCGCCTGGTCAGCGCAGGAAGGCAACCAGCGGGGATGCTGGGCAGGAGAACGACCCTGGGGCTCAAGCCCACCCCGCGGAGCCCAGCCCAGCAGGGCTGCGCCAGGCAGCTTCTCGGAGCGGGCCCATCCCCGTGGCCTCCAGCCCCGCTCTAGCTCGGCCCCAGGGACGGAGACCGGCCTGTCCCCTGCCGCCTCCAGCCTCGCCGGGCTCTGCCCGCGCCCCAGCCCCGGCTCCCAGCTCGGGCCCCCCCGGTCTTACTTCTGCGCGCCGCTGGCTGCGCCCCGCTCCTTTGTTCCCTCCGCGCCGCTCCTGCCTTCCCCGGCTGGGGCTGGCTCCTCCTCTGCGGGCTGTGGCTCCCGGCCACCGGCCGCTCTTAAAGAGCCAGCCCGGCCCTCGCACCCGCCTCCCGAGCCAGCCCGGGGGGTGCAGAGCGCGGATGGGTGTGTCTACACGGCCTCGGAAACCTGGACTCACCCCGCTGGGAGCCCAACCCCCTACCGGCCACACGCAAAGGTGCCTGATCCCGGTCTGCAAGTCCCGGGCACCCTGAGTCCTGCGGAGACTGGGGGCCAAGCCCCGTCGTTGTGCAGTGTGGACGCAGCTCAAGCCCCAAAGCCCAGTCAGAAGGTCTGTGCAGCGGGGGAAGGGCCCCTTAGCGAGGCGGGGAGACCTGGGGCCAGCCCTAAGCCCAGGTTGACCATGCAGTAGGGACATACCCTAAGGCAGAGGTTCTCAGCCAGGGGTATGTGGGTACGCTGAGGTGTTCCAGGGGGCACTCAAAGCCTCTAAATCAGTGGGTGTCAACCTGCCAGTCGCAAACCCCATGGGGGTTGCAGGATGGGTTTAGGGGGATTGCAAGTGCAGGGCCGGCGTTAGGGGTGGCAAACTGGGCAATTGCCTGGGGGCTCGTTAAGCTAAGTTCGGTGGCTGGGGTTTAGACAAGGCTCACAAGTGAAACACAGGCTCCAGTATCCCACTGAAAGGTAAGTACAAGATAGTCCAGTCCATTTATTTTATGATGCTATGGTAGAAATGAGAACGACAGCGGTTTTTCAGTAAGAGGGCGCTGTGCCACTTGTATTTTGATGTCTGGTTTTGTAAGCAAATCGTTTTTAAGTGAGGTGTATCTTGGGGGTAGGCAAGACAAATCAGCCTCCTGAACGGGGGACAGTCGTCTGGAAAGGTTGAGAGTCACTGGGCTAAGGGATTAGAGACGATCCGGACGGCCATGTGGTACAGGTCAGAACATTAATGCTTCTGGGAGAAACTGCTATTGCAGGGTATTATTATTAGTCATATTACTGGAGTGCCAGCCACGGACCCTGTTGTGCCGGGGACTGTACAAACACGGAACAGAGTCCCTGCCCCAAAGAGCTTCCAATCCAAGTATAATACAAGAGACGACAGATGGCTATGGACTGGCCAGGACGAGGAAACAGCAAGACAATATTCAGTGAGTTCCACTCTTGGGCCTTAACTTCAAGGTGCTGAGCCCAAAGATAACTAGGGCTCTGGATAAAGCCGAGGGGTGACAGCTCCACTCCTGGGGCTCCGTGAAAAGCTTTACAACAAGGCTAATTGCTCTATTTGAGGTGCCCTCCTTTCGCCTGCCTTCTCTGATGCAGATAGTGAGCAACGTGTGTATCAAAACATACCTGTCAAAACAAGCCGTTCCACTGCACAGACTTCTCCCCCTGGGAAAAGGATGAAAAGACAAAGAACATACGACAGGTGCTAGGCCCGGATATTACGGTCAGCCTGGTGTATGGGCCTGTATAGACTAGAATATTGGTCAGCATGGTAGCCAGTGGTATCAGCGTACTAGCAGCTGCACTTACAGGCCCAGCTGTGATTGGTGCCCCATTGTCTTAGCTCTGTGTAAGAGACAGTCCCCACCCCAAAAAGTTAGCAGTCTAGAAAGACTAGATTTATTATCCCTATTTTACACAATGACTTGCCCAAGGTCACGCAGGGAGTCCATGACAAAACTGGGACTAGAACCCAGATTTCCCCATGTCCCTGTGCAGAGTTTCACAAATACATCGCCGGTCACTGACAGGCCTGAGTACAGGAGATGAATTTGGGAATTATTATTGTTAAATGTTTATATTGCAGCAGCTAGCACAGAGGCTTCAAATCTGATCATGGTAGGTGCTGTATAAACACACATAAAGACCTGGCCCTTGCCCCAAAGAGTCTCCAGTCTAACAAGAGTTGGTCCATTGAAGACGGTGGGAATAGTTGGTGGTTTGAAGCTAAGCACATGTTTCAGTGTTTGCAAGCTCAGGGCCTGGCTCTACCAGTGCACTCCGCAGATTGGGTGTATCTCCTGGTCCATGCTTTCAAGAGGACACAGCCAGTGCCCACCCTTTGAATGTACTGGTGCCATCAGTATTTAATTGTGGCTTGATTCCTTATATGGGGCATTCATTGAGTGATGTTATACATTGCACAATAGCCTGACAAATCTAGTGACTGCATTATCCTTCTTAGGACAGCATCACTTACAGTATGTAGACATTATTGCTTCTTTCACAAGACCAGAATCCTTTTGTGGGCCCAACACCAGGACATAATTTGCAATCAAACAATTAATAACATGAAAATTAAGCCTTCCTCCTCGCCCACATAAAAAGGAAATGCACAAACCACTATGATGATGTATGCTATAATACACATGACTGAAGTCAAGAGGTGGCCACTGAGCCAAGGGTGAATTTGGTCCAGGATAGTATTAAAGTTATGCAAGTGTATAGGAATCAAAGGTCCCCTGTAGACAAGTGCATGTAACCTTGTGTGTAGGTTTTTCTTTGTAGAAGGACAGTGTTTGCTCAGGAGAGTTGGTTGACCCAGTTTTCTGTCAAAAACTGCAATTTTGTCAAAATCTAAATCTTTGGCAGGAACGTGTCGCTTTGGCTGAAAATTTTGATGGGAGGAAAATCGAAGCGAATCGTGAAAGAACGTCAGAATGGCCATACTAGGTCAGACCACTGGTCCCTCAAGTCTAGTATCCTCTTTGCTGCCAGTAGTCAGTGCCAGATGCTTCAGAGGGAATGAACCGAACAGGGCAATTATCGAGTGATCCATCCCCGGTCATCCAGTCCCAGCTTCTGGACTTTTGGATTTTGTTTCAATAATGGCAAAACATTTTGATAAGGTAAAAATGTTTCATCTTGATTAATTTTGGTTTGACTTTCATATTAAAATATGTGTTTTAATATGCAATATATTCATGTTTTGATGGTCTTGAATGGGAATTTTTTGGAATTTTCATTCTGTGGGAAATGTTGGCTTTTTACGCTAATTAATTTTGGCTTGTCGTTCTAATTTGGAATGAAAACAGAGATCACATTTTCCAGTTCTGCACAGAGAGGCCTCGGCTAGTAGAGAGCCACTGGAGGATGCTTTCAAAATCCCTTTCATGGGAGTTCAATTGCTCACCAGATTAGCCCTGCAACGCAAACTGATTGTACCCGCCTTGTAGACCTGCAAACAGGCACCTTCAATGCATTGACTGCTAAGGGCCGAGTGTAAAGTTGCTAAAGCGTGTGTGCAGACTCAGGCACGTGTGTTGCATGCCAAGTCTAAGCCACTCCAAAAATTATTGTTGCTGCTTATTTCTTACGCACTAATGCCAGGCTAGGCACGGTACGAGCTGCAACGATCAAGGCAGTCCCTGCTCCGCAGAATTTGCAGAATAGAAGAGAGCCATGGAGAGGGGAAAATGAGGTGCTGCGAGCCCCCAAGGAAAGAGTTACCGGGCGGGTGGGTGGGGGGAAGCAGTTGAAGTCAACCACAGGGTTTAAAAGGAGGTGGATCAGGCCCCCGTCCAGCTGACTGCATGAGCACATGAGGTGGGTAGCCTCCATCTCACTTGGCAAAGGGCTGCTTGTGGCCAGAGAATGCAGCCCCCTACTCCACATGCTGTCAGAAGGGGAGTAGTGCAGTGTTTGGCCTAATCCCTAAGGGCCTGATCCTGCAAAGAGCTGAGGGGAACAAGGGGGCTCTGCCCAGTGGCCCACAGGATGCGGCATTGGGCCCAGAGGCCTGAGCTAAACACACAGTTGAACTAAAGGTGTAAACGTATTGGCGCTGTTTGAAACCAGTGTATTGGCGCTGTTTGAAACCAGTTTAAGCATCTCTGCTCAGGGCTGTGTGCTAAATCAGGTCTGGGCCAACATGTGTGTATGTAGATGAGGCCTTAGCCGGAATCCGGTGTTGCTTAATTGCCTTGGTTAGCGTTGAGAGCCACACCCACAGCAGAGCCAGGCACTATAAACCTTCCTTCCCCAGGACAGGGTGGCATGAGCCATCTAAACATGCGCAGTTCATTAGTGTAGGCAGCTGTGTGGGTTGGAAACTGAACTGTGCCCTGTTGTCACTGCGGCCAGGGCAGTCTCAATGGAACAGGGAAAAACCTGACACCAAGGTAGGTAAACAATGCGGCAGATCCCTCTGTGAAGTAATTAAAGGCAGCCAGCTGCTGTCCTGCTGGCTAGTTAGTTAAGAGGGTCTCTTCTTTAATCTGGATTTACCTATTATTCTTATTCTGATGGCTTCCCATCACCCTCCTCCAGCTGGAGCTGTGTAGGGAAGGAAATTTCACTCAGCACTTGTTTGTTACAGCACCCCATTTGTCCTGCTTCCTCGGCCCCCTGGAAGGTTGTGACAATCCCTGAGTTACATCTGGCCTGAATGGGGCTCCTCTGATCTGATTCACACCTCAGGCGTGACTCCAGTGGAACCAGTAGTTAACCTAGGGTAAAACTGGCATGACGGAGAACAGAACCAGGGGAATCTCTAACGCTGCACATAGAACTTCTGTGGGTGCCCGTGCGCATCGGGGCCTTTCTGTGTTTGCTGAGCTAACCCCCCACTTACCATGTCTGCATCCATTTCTTACAGGAAACACAAGACTGCTCAAGAAGCTAAGGGAAAACCTCACCAGTACAGCAATCTCTGAGTGAGACGCATTCATTCTTTGGGACCAAACTGTCCACCCGCACGCTCTTTCCAAACCAGGACTCTTATTAGTATTGCAAGTAGTCCAGACCCCAAATTTTGACTTGTGGGCTCCCTATTCCAGTGGACAGTCAACACTGCACAGATGAGTGAGAACCCCACCTGATGAAATAGTCTCTAGTCCACGGGGGGGGAATCTAGGAGCCGGGGGACCAAGAGTTCGAGGCTCACCTCTTCTGCCCACTGCTGTTTATAGTTCTGAGCCCTTCACGGCCCTTATTCTGGAGCAAGGCCTCTGACCTGGCCCTTAGGAAGCAGGCAAATATAATTCCTCCCTCATATTACAGAGAAGTTAACTGCACTGTCACTGGGAATAGAAACCAGGCTTTTAATATGCCTGACTGAGGTCTCATTCAGGCTGAATGTGCCAAATCTATATGGTTGGCGAGCCTGGCTGTAACCACTAGGCAACACTGCCTTCCGAGACAGCAGTAGAGTCCAGAAGTCCTGATCCCTAATATTCTACTGCTGTCTTGCAAATAGTCATGCAACCCACTGGCAAAGAATGTGCCACAGGATCCTCTAGTGACTGGCCCGTATAGAGAGCTAACAATCACATGGTAGAGCTCTGTTCTGTGGAGCTAAAGGACCAGTGGCCTAGCTCCTCAATGGGAGTTAGGTGCCTATTGAAATTAATGAGCATTAGGTGCCTAAATACCTTTGGATCTGGGCCAAAGTTCAAACCCTTCTTATGACCCAGGGGAGAATGCACCTGCTGGACTTCATTGTTGTTTTTCCCCCGCAGTTTTATTTTTGTAATGGTGTTTGAATCATACCACTTGGAATAATACAACAGGGGAGAATTTCCTAAACACCAGGATTCTAGCTAGAAACCATTATCTGTCAATGGTGGCGTTTGGGGGCCACAAAATCCAGGGGTTCCACATTTCAGCCATTTGGCCCGCAGTGACGGTACCACAACTGCTACTGCTCTCTGGCATGATCTCCAAACCCCCCATAGCCTCAGTGGGCGTTAGGAAGGTGGACAGAATGCAAGACAAGGCCCTCTTCAGTAGTATATTGTGAAAACCCTTCTGCTGTGTGTACTGGGATTTTTGAATGTGCGGAGACTGAGTGTGAATTTGTTACCCAGCCTGGTGACAGACAGGTAAACAAAGGGCTAGAATTTCAAAGCTGATATAAAACTTCTGTCAAACGCTGATATACAGTAACTCCTTGCTTAGGGGTGGTATTACATACAGGTGACATCTTGCATCTGAAGAAGTGAGGTTCTTACCCACGAAAGCTTATGCTCCCAATACTTCTGTTAGTCTTAAAAGTGCCACAGGACCCTCTGTTGCTCCTTGCTTAACGTTGTAGTTATGGTCCTGAAAAATGCAACTTTAATTGAAACGATGTTGAGCGAATCCACTTTCCCGATAAGAATGAATGTAAATATGGAGGGGTAGGTTCCAGGGAAATTTTTTTCACCAGACAAAAAACTATATATTATGTGTACACACACACACACACAGTATATGTTTTAAACAAACAATTTAATACTGTTCACAGCTATGATGATTGTGAAGCTTGGTTGAGGTGGTGAAGTCAGAGGGTGGAAGAGGGTGGGATATTTCCCAGGGAATGCCTTGCTGCTAAATCAGTGGTTCTCAAACTTTTGTACGGGTGACCCCTTTCACATAGCAAGCCTCTGAGTGCAACCCCCCCTTATAAATTAAAAATACTTTTTAATATATTTAACACCATTCTAAATGCTGGAGGAAAAGCAGGGTGTGGGATGGAGGCTGACAGCTTGTGACCCCCCATGTAATAACCTCATGACCCCCTGAGGGGTCCCAACCCCCAATTTGAGAACCCCGGTGCTAAATGATGAACTAGCACTCGGCTGAGCCCTCGAGGGTTAACACATTGTTGTTAATGTAGCCTCTCACTCTACAAGGCAGCCGGAATGGAGGGGAGGGGAGACAGCATAGCAGACAGAGACAGACACACACCTTGTGTGTGGGAGAGAGAGAGAGAAATGCACACTGCCCCGTCCGTGCCCCACCCTGCTCTATATGGCGAAGAAGGGGTAAACAGGGGCAGGAACAGGGGGGAGGGGACACCCTGACATTAGCCCCCTTCTCCCCCCCCCCCCCGCACAGCAACAGGACGCTTGGGGAGCAGCTCCAAGGCAGAGGGCAGGAGCAGCACATGGCAGTGGGGGGAGGGACAGCTTCAATTGCTAGCCTGCTGGGCAGCTGCTGCACAGGGAACTTAGGGGAGCGGGGAGCTGATAGGGGGGCTGCCGGTCCACCCTGGTTCCAAGCCCCCACCAGCTAGCTGCAACGGGCTGCTCTTCCTGCAAGCAGTGGACAAAGCAGGCGGCTGCCAAAAGACGTTAGAAGGGAGCATTGCGCAACTGTAAACGAGCATGTTCCCTAATTGATCAGCAACGAAGCAATGACAGGTTTCAGAGTAGCAGCCGTGTTAGTCTGTATCCGCAAAAAGAACAGGAGGACTTGTGGCACCTTAGAGACTAACAAATTTATTAGAGCATAAGCTTTCGTGGACTACAGCCCACTTCTTCGGATGCATATATAACAAAGCAATATTAACAGGGACGGCTTTAAGTGAGGAGTTACTGTACATTTATTAGAAAACAAATTCTCCTTTATTTTCCAGCACAATACTAAAAATGTCCACTAGATGGTATCAGAAACTCACTTTTAGGTTTGTGGCAGCATTCCTTTCTTACATGCAGGAATTTTAGGTAATTCCTCCATTCTGGCCTGTGCCATCTCCCCTGCTGTTCTAGTCTGGCGTTCCCATTTTGGCACCAGATGCTATTTAAATTAATCTTCTGAGCCAAGGATTTCAATGTGCTTTACCCATGGTGATTAGGTTCCACAGTACCCTTTGTGCGGCCAGTGAGTGTGAATCTCTCCATTTTCCAGATGGGGAAACTGAGGC